ACCCTCTTTAGAGCAGGCTACCTCTCCCTATCTCATTAGCGATGAGACAAGAAAGTGGTTAAGAGTAGTTTCTTGAGCCAGATTGACTGGCTTTGAACCAAGGACTGTCATTAATTAGCCTTATGACCATGGATGAGTTTCTGTGGCTCAATTTCCTCATCTATATTATGGGGATTATGATAGTTACCAGTTCAGAGAATTGTTGTGAGATTTAGATAAGTGAATATATAACATCTATATCAGTGCCTAACATCTATATATATGAATGGCAGCCATTATTAATATTATAATTCAGTCCTTCAGGCATGTTGAGAACATATCTTTGTCCCTGGATTTCTACATATAACAGCCATTTTGTACCCATTCTAGGTCTGAGTACTGTGGGAGCCACAGAAGTATGACATTGTCTCCAGAACATGAACATGATAAGTGGGAAGAAAGGGACTAGGCATAAAAAGGGAAGTGATACATAATTAAGATCTAAATTAGATGCAGACAATAGGTGCTGTAATTCAACAGAATTTGTAATCCCTGAGGTGTAGGGATCAGGGAAAGCAGCATGGGTAAGCTAAAACTTTACCTGGGTCTTAACGAATGGCTAAGTAACTTGTTAAAAAGAGAAAAATAGGGAGTAAAGCCTAGGCTAAGCCATGGCTGCAGGAATGATCAAAATTTTGTACACCAGTTTGGCTCCAAAGAATTGGGTTAGGAAGCAATGATTGTGAAAAAGCTTAAATGTCAGCTATAGGGATTTGAATGTTACACAAAGAGATATGGAGAGCCATTGAAATTTTCAAGCAAAACAGATAAATGATTAAAACAGGAGGATTATTTTAGAATACATATTTGGAGTCATCTAGAGGGAGACATGTAATAGAGGGAGACTAAATAGAAAGCTCTAGCAAAATCTAGGAGTGGTGTGAGAAGTGTCTGAATCAGAGTGGTTGTGATAGGAGTGGAAAGAAAATCCTGGGGACCACTTCAAAGAAAGAACAGAAAAGATTTAGTAACTGACTGAAGAGTTGGGGGATAGGGTGTATGGGAAGGAGAAAAATCAAATATAACTTCTAAGTTTCTGTCCTGAATAATGAGAACAATGGTGGTATAACAGGTGGAAATATAACAGTTGGGAAGGAGAGCCAGTTTGAGGATTTTTAGGGGTGAATATAATGCAACCAGAAGGCTTCTGGTTGAGTGGAATTGTCCACTAGGCAGATGAGCAGACAGGTATTTCTTTTGACTTGTTTCTTCCCCTTTCCAGGGGAAATTGTGTATATAAACTAAGTAAGATGTTGTTGAGGAATGGGGACAAAGTTAAAGGTAAGGTTTCAGTCATCCACAGAGTTGAAACTGTATATAAGGAATCTAACAGGTTCCTTTAAACATGCATCATTAGTGGAGACACTCCCACTTTTGAAAAAAAGTCAAAAAAGTATATAGGATAATATGTGAAAATCTGTACACCCCCATACACCTTTATGACTCCACACTCTGCACCCTCCTGATATAGGATGTGCTCAGTTTCCCTGGCCTCGGGTTTCAGAACATGCTTCTGGGTTTCCAGCCCCTTCCTGAGGTCCCATCCCCCCTCCTCTAAGCTCTCCCCTGCAGGAAAGTTACTGTTGCCAGTTAGGCCTATTTTAGCACCAACATAGGGAAAATGAGACCATGGGGGGCTGGCGTATGCAATCCAGTTGCCAGGCATGCCCAATAGAGAGCACAGAACATTCTGGTGCATATAACTCTGAACCACCCCCTTAATAGAATATTCATTAGATAGAAAAACTATAAAAGCAGAATCCCAGCTAAAGGCAGGGTTCTTCTTGCTCACTCTCCTGGAGGCAACCCACACTTCCTAGCTGAGGTGTGTATATCTTACTTTGTATATAACTTATGTTCACCAAGCAGCTATTCATTCTCTTGAGCCAGCCTGCACTTTGTCCTGAACTTTAGCTTTTGTGTTAGACTTGATGTTGGTACTGAACTTAGTTTTGTGTTAAACTTGGTGTGGGGCCTGCTCAGTCTCTGGAGCTATGCTGTGCTCTCTCCGGGGAACCCATATTTCTTATCTATTTTATTAAACATGTTTTCACTGTCTACTGTGACTCTGCCCTTGAATTCTTTCCTGTGGCAGAGTCAAGAACCTGGTA